CCTTTGAATCATGAAGATATGTACTAATTAAAAGTAAATTATCAGTTGGGCTCCATGGCTCAGCCTGTAATCCCTCACCTTTGGGAGGCTGAGGTGAGTGAATTGCCTGAGCCCGTGGGCTCGAGACCCGCCTGGGCAACTTGGCGAGACCTCATCTCTATAATAAATTTAAAAATTAGCCAGGCATGGTAGCGCGTGCATGTAGTTCCAGTTACTTGGAAGGCTGAGGCAGAAGGATCGCCAGAATCCAGCAGGTGGAGGCTGCAGCGGCCGGGAGCGGCCACTGTCCTCCAGTCTGGGCAACCGAGTGAGACTCCAACTCAAAAAAAAAAGTAAATTATCTCAGTGCAGGACTTAGAAATTGGAACGAATACTGGACTAAACTGGAAGCAGAGATATTTTGGGCAATTTGAACTGAAAGCTAATGCTCTGATAGGATGCCAACAATGAACTTTCTAATATTATTTTGATCTTTTAATTATTTTCTGAGAAGGAATAAAACACCAAGGGACAAAAGGACTTCTATTTTTAATAGCATATACTCTGAAAATGTACTGGTAAACATTTTAAAAAGTATTCTTCTGTGCCCATGAATATTTTTCTGGATTTGAACTCAACATTGGGTTTTGGAGAGCTTAAACATAATCAGTAGGTACTATTATTAATGATTAATGTACAGTTCATTAGGTAACAAATGTTACAGGCCTGATCAGCCTTTAGGTATAAATGAGGACATGTTAATTCCCAAATTACCTTGTCTCTTTACCCCTCCTGCTCACACAGGGCCTTAGTAGAGCTCCTTAGCATCTGCCACAGTTATTTCTGGAAGTTCCAGCTACCTGCCAGATACCATGAAAGGTACTGGGGCCCTTCAGAGATATGATGGAGGTACGTAAATTAGCTCTGGGATCTTAAAAGAAGTACCTTAAAGCCAACTTAGAGGTCTAGGAAGGTCATTTTGGAATCATCAGTGATACTTGAAAATGGTTTCTGGCCTTTTTTTGAAGTCAGCACACAGAGATTTGAGGAAAGACAGCCAAAAGTCAGGAATAATAGTGTCATAATGTTTGGATTATATACACAACACCTAAGTTTTTCTTATTTTGTACACATAGGATTTGGGGAGTGATGTTATCATATAGATCCCCTTTCCCTATTCAGTCTTGAGACTCTTCCTGTTCATCTCCTCCCACCTCCCACTTCTGAGAGCAGTTGTCTTCAGCACACTTGGTGTGAAGTGGGGAGTAAGTGGAGAGGTCTCCATGCCAGGTCTTGAATGGCCTTCTATGCTAAGACTGCAGCACTCATATCTCTCATTCATTGTACATTATTATCTCTCTGCAACACCTTTCTTTTGTTAATTTTTTCTTCATTTCCCTATCCTCACTCTCTTCCCCTTCTCTCCTTATGTACCACTATAAAATGATACACATGTGATATCACGTTTCATATGTCTTTTAAACATTTACATAAGTGGTACTGTGCTATAAATCTTGATGCTTCTTAACTATTTCAAACTCTGTATTTTTAAGACCAAGTCATGTGGCTGATGTGCACCCATAGTATGTATGAATCCACCACAGTTTACAAGTGACAAACACCTGGATGGCCTCCAACTCCCACTGTCACGATCAAGGTCTCAATGAAACTTTTTACCCATGTTCCTTATGGATGCTTGTGAGAAGTTTTCCATTTTCCAGTGTCTATACCCAGGAGGATGACCACTAGGTCACAGGATATACTTAATTGCCTAAACACCCACAAGGAGTTTGGAAAGATGAATGGAAGTCAGCTAGGATAAAGTATGTAGGAAGGGCCACTCAGCAGAGCAAGCGGCATGGGCAAAGAATGGAGGAGTGTCACAGCAGGGTGAATTCTGGAATCCCAGGCTCATTAGGGCCAGGAGAATGCAGAACCTCGGGTTATGGTGTGGGGTAAGTAGAGAGTTCTCAAAGCCAGGTCTTGAATGGCTTCCTATGCTAAGGGGTTTGAATTGCAGACTGAACACTCCACTGAGCCACTGACAAGTGTTAAGAATATGAGAGGCATCACCAGACTTGCATGTTGGAAAGGGCATTCTGCTTGCCCTGCATCTAACAAAAACACAACATCAAATGCTGAGCTCAATACTGAAGTGACTCAAAGGCCACGACAGTTCATTCTTTCTTGAAGAGGGATCTACTGGACCTTTCTGTGTCTGCCACACAGCTGTGCAAGGACAAAGGCTAGGCAGTGAGGGGACTGACAGAGATGGGTAAATCCCAGTTCCTACCAGTCCAAACTGGGCTTCAGAAGAGGAGCACTGACACAGAGGAGATAGGCAGGACTAGGGAGTTTGCAAAAGGGGACAGAAGTGGTTCAGAGGGACTATTGCTTCTAGATCAAATACTGAAGACAGCTGCTTTCAGAATTGGGAGGTGGGGGGATATGAACAGGCAGATCCTCGACCTAGAAGACTGGATAGGGAAAGGGGGTCTGTACGGTAACGTCGCTCCCCAAATCCTATGTGCACAAAATAGGAAAAACTTTGGAGCTGTACATATAATCCAAATATTATGTCATTATTACTCCTGACTTTCAACTGTCCTTCCTCAAATCTTTGCTGATTTTATTTCTGGCAATAATGCAAAACCAAAAGGCCAAGGAGATTTAAAAAAAAAAGGAAGAAAGAAAATATTATGGGTCAGACTATTTCAGGGACTTTGGGATCTGCATGATTTTGACAAATGTAAGGGGAGATGTCTGCCTTTTGGAACTGTATCTTCCCTTGGCTTCCGGGGCACTGTGCCCTCTGGATCTCCTCTGTCTCTGTGCCTTTGCTGGCTCCACATTCTCCTTCAGAGGCCTCTCTCTGATCCAAGGACTCCCAAATCTCCCACTCTGAGATCCCTCAGCCCACCTTCAGCCTGGTATGCTCGGCTGCCTTCAGATCTATCCACTCAGATGTCTCCCTTGGCTGTCTCCTCAAGCCCAACACGTCAAGGAGAAACTCACATCCTTTCTTCACACCCCCTCCCTGAAAGAGCATTCCTTCCTGCCTTGTCTACTGCTCTTCCAGCACCACCGCTTTCCTTGTTCCAATCTTGGAGTTACATAACTAACAGATGCCTCTCTGCTCCCAGGCAGCAGCCAACAAACCCCAGGGATTGTTTTTCTGCAGTAAGAGTTGGCTCTTTTCTTTTCCACAGTCATCACCAAGACTAAGCACCTAACATTCTCTTCTGTGTCACTACCAAGCCTTCCCAAATGGTTGCTTACCTCCATGGTATCTCAACTGTACTGTCCCCACTTGCAGAGCCCTGCTTGTTAATTTAATGCTACTGTTCTCATAAAGCAAAACAACAACAAAACAGAATGGCTTCTCAAAGAACACATTCCAAGCTAGAAAATGACATTTATTAACTAGTTCGAATTTACCTATTTTGTTTTCATACTCTTGAATAATATACTTTATTTATATAGTCATTGCATTAATGGGCTTAAGCCTCTTACTGTGTGCCAGGCAGTGTGATATATGAATATGAACAGACTATTGTTTTTGCCATTTTCTGAAAAGCATATAGTTCAGTGGTGAAATACAAGCACTCATGACAGTTTACTTAGGATTCAGCGAGAAAAGTGCTACATTAGAGGCAAATCAAGTCTTGGGGAGAAAACTGCAAGCAGGAAAGATTTTATAGATGATAACATAAGCAGCAGTGCACTGAAGCGTAAGTGTTGGCCAAGTACTTGGTAGCTGGGCCTTTCCTGTGAGCAAGGGACATTCTCTTTTGTATGACACTCTCTTATGTATTCTCCTCTCATCCGCCTCGATGACTCACACTAAATTGTCCTCCGCCCTTTCCCCAGCCTCTTTGAGGGCTTCCCAGGTTCTTGCAAATTCAAATTCCACTTTCTTCCAAGTCACCTCAAAAAGAATTTCCCTAAGCCCTTCCTGACTCTGACTTTCATTTTCTTTATCTTCTCCTCCCAGTATTGTACAACATCATTTCTGAATCAAATGCTGGCACTGCTCTTTAGGACAAAGGTTCTCAGATGGATTTATTTATTTATCTAGCGTTGGAGTCTCACTCTGTCGCCCAGACTGGAGTGCAGTGGCACGCTGCCGGCCACCGCAACCTCGACCTGCCGGGCTCCGGCGATCCTTCCGCCTCCGTCTTCCAAGTAGCTGGAATTACAGGCGCGCGCTACCACGGCCGGCTAGGTCCTCAGATTTAAACATATATTTAAATCATCCGCACACGCGATTCTTAGGATTAGCCCACGGCACCGTGGAGACTGCTTTTTGCAGGCCTCCCCAGGTGATTCAGGCACAAAAGGATCCCGGATCACTGGGTTAGACCTGCGGCCGGCTTTTATTTCTCCACAGGAGCTGTCCACAGCCCCAGGCTGGGTGGACACCCACCTAGCAGAGAGCATGTGCGTTGCTCAGCGCTCTGGCTCCGTGTCTGCTCAGCTTGGTGACTTTTCGATGCCTCCATTACGAACGATACCCAGAGAGTCAAGAAAAGTGGCTCCGCCACGTGCACAGGTCCACGCTCTCCAGAGGAGATTAAAACTCCTAAAGGGTCAGCTCACTCGGAAAGTCCCCAGAAGCGCAAGAGGACATTACATCTTCCGTACTCTCAAAAAATGCGCAGCCACCAGCCCAAAGGATTTCAGCGCATCTCAAGTAAAACATGCTTTTAGAGACTGCAAAACGCACGGCCCGTTAGACAGCTCGTCAAAGCAAAAGCCCACAGGTCCCCAGTGCACTTAAAGTCATCACCCTCCCCATCGTAAGTGCTGTGCCCCAAACAGGGATTAAGGAGGGCGCACGCACGCAAATCACCGGGGTCTGGAAAGGAAAGGAACCCCGAGGGGGCTCTGGGCTGCTGTGCCCTCGCCACCAGCCCCTCCTCGGCCGCGCGCCCCGCCCCGCGGTGTGGGCTCCGGGGCAGAGCCCGGCCGTCTGCGGGGGCGGGGCCCGGACGCCGGCGACGTGCTGACGTCACGGGCGTGGGCCGTCCGGCGCGTCGTCCGACGCGGAGCGGGGCCGGCCCGGGCCGCCGTCGCCGGCTTCGTTGCGTGAGGCGCGGGGTCCGCGTCCGCTCTCTCCGCCATTCGCTTTTCGCTCCGTCCGGGTCCCGGCGGTCCGGCGCGGGCCGTCATGGTGCCGTTGGCGCGCCCGGCGCGACCCCGCTGAGCCTCGGTGCGGCGGCGGACGCGGCTGGAGGTCACCATGCCTACCCGTGAGTGGCCGGCCGAGGGCCGGGCCGGGCCGGGCCGGGCCGGGGGCGGGCGGGGGGCGTCGGGAGCTGGGCAGCCCGCTCGGCGGCGGGGGCAGC